TTGAGGACTGATTCCCAGAGTCTTGAGAACTGAGAGCACCGCATTGGGAGGGTTCGAGTTCTATCTTCACAAGCCAGTTCCAGAAGGTGGACTTAGGGGCTGCTGCTTACCACCACCACCCCCATGGCAGTTGAGTCAGTGATCCTCAATCAGCAGGTCAGGAAAACTCTTTTATGAGCTCTTGTCTCCTTCCAAGCCTCTGTATTCTGCCACTGTGCTCAAAAATTATTTTATTCGCATTATTTGTCGTCTGCCTCTCTCACTGAGACTCAAGGTGGATGACACAATCTAAGTCAATAGGATCAGGCATCTAATAAACAGGGTAATCGGACTAGGCTTGCACAAATCAGAAGCAAAGCATAAGTATTGAACATGATGTGTTCAACAATGCAAAAAATGGGATTACATAAATAGAAAACAATGCAGTGTGAGCAAGACAATACATACAGCCCTCCAGGCAGCTCACAGAAAGCACAAAGCAACAAACAGAATCAGAGAAGAACAACAAATAATTTGCAATAAAATATACACACCAGGGTCGCTCAAAGCAAAACCACCATTAGAAGCCTGGGAAATTTAAAAAGCCGAGAGGGTGCCATGCAGGTGTGTCCTGAGTGGCCAGTCCACAGCCCAGAGGACGTCCTGTCCCTGGTCATCTCGGAGGGGGGCTTCTAACTTTAGAAGATGAGCAGGTTCTTACAGGTATACTCATGAGGGTCTTTGGGCAGCCAGCATGGAGTTAGAGTCCACTAGGCATTGTGGATCCCCGTAGGGTGAGACCTTTGGTGTACCTCCATTCCTGCGTGAGTTTTGCCATGATTTTGTCTGTGTATCTTGGCTCTGCTGCAGTAAATAATTAACAGCAGGATGATGTGCCCCCCGATAAGTGCTCTCCTGCTATTCCTGAACTAAGCTTCAAGGGTTTGTGTACACAACCTAGCCTGGCTTGTTTACACAACCTCTTCTGTTAAGGAAAATGTCACTCTAACTTTGTCCTTGGAATGTGTTTGTATGGTAAGGGGTTGAATGGAAGCATAAATCACCTCCCCACCCATAATTGGGACTCTGCCTTATTTTGGTCATGGTAATTACTCTCATCTGAGTCCTCATAATTTTTGAGGTCAGCCAACCATGTCAGGTGGGTGGAAGTTTGGCACCTCTCTAAATCTGGTCCTTTTCAGTAGCTGCCCCAAACTCTGTGGGACCTGCTTCCCTTGGAAGTTCCACCTTATTTCTTTTCTTGCCTCCTTTGGGAGGTGGCAGTGAAAAGTTTTTCTGTTCCACCAAGCATTTGATGCTGCTGAAATTTCTGTTTTTTAGATATGATTTCTGCTGCTGATGGTTTCAGTCATCGTCTTTTCAGATAATTGTAGTTTTGGTCTTCTTGGGTTTTACTGGATTGTGGGTTTTAATCCCATTGTGAGTTTTTGAACTGAAAGGTGGGATTAAAATATTGTAAAATAAACAGCAACTTATACAGTTCAACATTGGCTGTACATGTTCATTTAGAGTGCATGGGGGGTTCAGGTGGACAGATGGGGCTCTGAGCTACAAGTTTGGAAAATCAGCTGCTGGAAGGCTTATGCAGGAACTCTTCGAGGGGGAGGAGCCAGGGCTATTTTTGGGCAGGAACGCACAGGAACGGAGTTCCGGCTGGCTCCCAAGTTGGCCACGCCCAGCAGGAACTCATTAGCATAATAGGCCACACCCAACAGCAGAAACTCATTAGGATTGGCTACATTAGGGGTGTGTGGCCTAACATGCAAAGGAGTTCCTGCTACAAAAAAAGCCCTGGGTTTTGACAACAAGCAAGGTAAACAGAATAAGAAGCAAAAGGTGGGTGTGGCTGGATGACCACACTTCTGGTAACATGGGGGTGTGGCCTAGTATGCTAATGAGCTGTGTTGTCAGGGGTGTGGCCTAATATGCTAATGTGTTTCTGCTGTTGGGTGTGGCCTATTATGCTAATGAGTTCCTGCTGGGCTTTTTCTACAAAACGAGCCCTGGGGAGGACTATACATGGGGAATGTGCCTGATTCTGTCCTGGGGCTGAGCATTGCTGAGGAAGAGCAGGAAAAACATCTCAAGGAAGGCTTACTTCCATATGAGGCTGTCTGTGTTTTCATGATCCATCCTACCTTTTGATTTGGTTTGGGAGCAGGCATCTGAAGGACCGTCTTCTCCCGCCAACACCTCCCTATCAAGTGGATGAAGCCTTTCTCTGGGCGCTCCCACTTTTAGTGGTCAAGTGGGTCCCAACCAGGGAAGGAGCCTTCTTTGGAATACCCTCTGCAGAGACACTGATTTGTATACATTCTCACAACCACTGTCCTAGAGGGGATACTTCACCCATTCAGGGTTTTGAGAGAGAGAGAAAGGAAGCAAAGAACCCCCCCCAAAACCCCAGACCAGGCAGAAATCAAAAGTCTTTACTGCCTGATGGAAAATGCACAGTAACAGAGACAGGTTTTTCTCAAGCATTACAGAATTGTGGTGCCACCACGCAGATGGTATTGGGTGTTGTAAATAAGAAGCGGGAGACTGACCAGTTATGAAGGTGCACAGAGAGTTTATATAGTTATAAAGGTGAATATATACAGAGATATTTACAGGCTATTGAACAGCATGTCATGCCTTAGTCTATGAGAGCTGAGTCCCCTCCAGCTTACTAAGCTGATAGCTATTATGCTAAACCCCAGCCAGTCTCTAACAAGGTGATGTAATCACTGACTCTAACAAGACCTGAAAGAGCAACACCTGCTAGAAAACACCTGGCTGTAATTACATGATTACTAGCATGACAGCTAGGTCTGACAAACAGATCAAACTGATCTATAGTAACTGCTTGCTACCTCTATCACTCTGACATATATCTCAATAGATGTCCCTGTTCCGTGTCCCAATTTGCCACACACCGGAGAGTGTGGAATTGCACAGCATGAGAGGCGGGGCAGGTTCATATACAAGATGCCGACCCTTATGAATACACCTCAGCCCTGCAGGCAATGTTCCCTCTAAGCTGTGGAGTCTTGTGAGCAAAAATTCAACTCTGTGAGCCACTGGCATTCAAGTTGTGAGCAAACGATTTGGCTGCTGCATAAGTTAGTCTGCTCTGGAGCCATCCTGCCTGACCTAGGACAAAAAAGTGTGAGCCGGAGGCTAAAAAAATGTGAGCTAGCTCACACTAACTCAGCTTAGAGGGAACACTGCCTGCAGGCACTTCCAAGCATATTTGTGCATCCCACGGTAGCGTCCCCGGGTGTGAAAAAAGTACAGTCTTGTCACCTGCATGAAATATATATTTGAACTGTAAGTATGAACTAACAGCTGAGAACTGCTGCAACCAACTCTCCAATACTGGGCGGTGCAGGGTGGAGAAACACATGAGCTGGAAAAGGTGTTTGAACTCTATGGGATATTCCCAGAGCGGTAACGATATATTTCTTTTTTAAAGGTAAACTATTTTGGAACTGCTGAAGCTGTGATTTGTGAAGTCTGCTCACTGCAGCCTCACTTTGGGTGAGGCCTCCCAGTCAAGACACATGGCACCTTGAAGATGGTTTGGAGAAAAGATTCCTAAGGGGTTCTGCGGGCCTTTGTCAGTCTTGTAAACCTACCCGTGGGCATCGAGAGCAACTTTGGAGACATGGGCCAAGCGTTGGATTAGAATATAGTGGGAATGAGGACATATGCATCACAGACAGGACACATCAATGTTCCTTCTAGAACGTTCTGTTCCCTCGCTTCATGACTATATCACTTCTCTGACCAGATACCGTTTGGCTTTAAAGATGAAGCCGTCAGGGCCACTGTTATAGAATAAAAGAGAGGAAGCGGTCATCAGTCAAAACATTTTGACAGCCCAGTGGTTTCTTGGTGATGAAAAGTGCTGTGAAATTACACTCGACTTGCAGCCGACTTACAGCGACCCCGTAGGGTTTTCAAGGCAAGAGACGCCTGGAGGTGGTTTGCCACGGCCTGCCTCTGCATCTCAGCCCTGGCCTTCCATGGTGGTCTCTCGTCCAAGTACGAATTGGGGTTGACCCTGCTTGGCTTCTGAGATCTGGTGAGACTGGACCAGACTGGGCCAGTCAAGTCAAGGCGGTGATTTCTTACCTGCTGGTGGAAATTCTCTGGAGGTTTTTTAAAGAACATTGAGTGTCTGTTTTCTCTGCAGTGAAGTAAGCACGTAAAGCTTCCTATTCCCGGCACTGTTTTATTACACTGTCCTCCCCACCCCCAGTCATGGTAGTTCACATAAAAGCCAATGGGCACCTCAGCCATTGGTGATCTCCCTGGGCTACCCCTCAGGCTTAATGTCTGGAATGGCTGCATTGTGCTAGCCAGTTTGGTGTAGTGGTTAAGTGCGCGGACTCTAATCTGGGAGAACCGGGTTTGATTCCCCACTTCTCCACTTGCACCTGGCTGGATGACCTTGGGCAAGCCGTAACTCTGGCACAGCTGTCCTTGAAAAAAGAGCAGTTTCTGTCAAGAGTTCTCTCAGCCCCACCTACCTCACAGGGTGTCTGTTGTGGGGAGGGGAAGGGAAAGGAGTTTGTAAGCCGCTCTGAGACACCTTTGGGTAGTGAAGGGCGGGGTATAAATCCAATCTCTTCTTCTTCTTCTCTTCTTCTGCTACAGTGACCAGTGTCCCCTCTAAGCTGAGTTAGTGTGAGCTAGCTCACAGGTTTTTTTAGCCTCCAGCTCACACATTTTTGCCTTAGCTCAGGCAGGATGGCTCCAGAGCCAACTAATTTATGCAGTAGCCCAATCTCTGGCTCACAACTTTAATGCCAGGAGCTCACAAAGTGGCATTTTTGCACACAAGGCTCCACAGCTTAGAGGGAACATTTTTTTTAAATTTAATTTTCGACTTCCCTATAACACTCTGACCCCGAAGGGTCTCTGAGAGGTTCACACAACTGTTTATACCTAACTAGGGCCACATTATTTGTACATTATTTGTATGGGGGGGTGATAACCTACCAGCACCCCGGCCGTGGGCTCAGTTGTTGCTCAGTTCCTGGCTCGGCTTGTTGTTCAGTCCGTGGCAGCTCTTCGGCACATCACGTCCTGGTGATCCTTGAACTATAGTGCTTCTGACCCCATAAGTTACACAAGTTACCTTTCTGGGGCCCTTTCACTTGTCTGGGCTTGCTACTTGGGCAACATCTGTCCATCTCTGTGGCCCATGTCGCGTGGGTCCATCTTGGCTGGCTTGCATTGATAAAGCGTGGCACATCTGGAATGTAGCCCCAGGCCGGTAGAGCAAAGGAGCGGGTGGGTTCCCCCCTTCAGTTCCATCAAGAACCATCATGGGGCGCTTAGATGACCACGCCAAGAAGCGGATTGTGGAGCTGCGCAAAGCCGGCTTGAGTTTCCGCAAGATCAAAAAGGTCCTAGAGCTGGACAACATCCGGGTCACCCCGCAAGCCATTTACCTGTTCCTCAAGCGGAAGAATGTGGACCCTGCCCTGCTCCTGCCCGGCTCCAATCAGCAGCCGGCTCTCGAGAAGGAGAGCAAGAGAACAGTCACGGATCAGGCTGGGTGGGATGACGGCAGGCTCTGGAACTTGCTGCAGGAAAATGGCGCAGGGCAACACCAGCGACGAGAGTCCGGGGGCCACGGGACGCCTTGCCCCACTCTGGGAGCCAGCGCAAGCTGCGAGGGCCTGTCTTCTAACGCCAACCGAGACACCCCCAAAATTGTCCACGTGACTTCACTGAGCAAAGATGGGGGGCAGTTCGCAAAGCCAAATGCCGCTTGTGGGGCCCTCTCTACAGGACCACATCTAGGCCCAAGTTTTGGTAAGGCCTCCCACAACCCTCTTTGTTTACTGCCTTTCTACCTCACTGTTCTCCCCCACAGGGATCCAGAGTGGCTTATAACCTTCTCTCCTTTGTTGTTGTTTTTGCCATATTCCTGGGATTGCACATCTACCCACCAACTACATTTTTATTCCTTCTGTCTTCCAAGGCAGCTAGGGCATACATGATTCTTATCCTCACAACCAGGGGTCATTTCCTGCAGGAGTGCACAGGAGCGGAGCTCCGGCAGTAAAGAGCCCAGGGGGCGGGCACATGCAACAAGCCCCACCCCCTGCTCCCAGCTGCCCTCACTCAGAGCAGGAAGCAGCCAGGTAAGTTGCAGAGCCCCCACCGCCCAAGTCCAAAACAGTCCAGTGGCACCTTTAAGACCAAGTTTTATTCAGGTACAAGCTCTCCCACTGGCGGCGGCCGGGACCGTTGGGGGCAGGGTGTGTGGCCTTATGACACGCTTCCGGTGATGTCAGGGGGTGTGGCCTTATGACACACTTCCGGTGATGTCAGGGGGTGTGGCATATGCTAATGAGTTATGCTAATGAGTTCCCCTAGCTCTTTTTCTACCAAACGACCCCTGCTCACAACTATGCTGTGAGATAGGGTAGGCTGAGCGAGCGTGGACCCAGTCACCTAGCGACCTTCATGGCAGCGCAGACGTGAATGTGGACCCTCCCACATCTAGTCCGTGTCAGGTTCCACAGCAAGTCACTCTTCGCACACGTTTCCTAAGAAGCGTCATGCTTTATTAGTGTACAAGACTGGTACCATGTCCACAGGATTATTGTTAGGAATAACTAGAAGGCGGGAACATCCCAATCAATGTTTCCTCTAAGCAGTGGAGTCTTGTGAGCAAAAATTCTACTTTGTGAGCTACCGGCATTAAAGTTGTGAGGGAGCGATTTGGCTACTGCGTAAATTAGTTTGCTCTGGAGCCCTCCTTCCTGAGCGAAGATAAAAATGTGTGAGCCGGAGGACCTCACACTAACTCAGAGGGAACACTGATCCCAATACATATAGCTGGGCAAGGCAATTAGCTAAGCAAATGAACTTCGAGCGCGCGGGCGGGAAGACTCCCGGCGGGAGATTACATAATGAGCGGGAGAGTCGCGGGGTTTCCTGAGAGCAGAAAAATCCACACCAAATGTGGACCCCAAGTCCTCCCTACTTCACAAGGCCAGACTGATAACGGCGTCTGGTTCCCACGGCCTCCCTGGCATGTTTACGGCAAGCTGCCAAGCTGCAAGCAAGCGAGAACGGGGAAGGGGGACTACACAGAAATGGCAGCTAGCTGACAGTCCGGCACTAACTGCTATGCTGCACTGGCTCACTCTAATATGAAGCCAACATATACCTTTGGCCCATCTAACCCATTGGTCTTCTCAGACTAGTCGTAGGTTTCCCGGTATTTAAACCTGGGTCTTTCCCAACCTTAAGATCCTCTACTGGAGTCGCTGCGGATTGAACCTGGTACCTTCCGTATGCCAAGGAGATGCTCTGCCGCTGGACCTGTGGTCCCCCTCCCCCATATTTCTGTGTGAGAGCTGTTCTGCTTTTAAACGCTCTAAGGCCAAGAACTCTATCTCCAAACAAGCTTTGCAAGCTCAGGATGACTGGAGTCTGCTTCGTAGGCGTTTCTGAGGATCCTCCTAGCTGTCCTTTCTCTTCAGGTCTGGGCTAGAGGCCATGTCTCTCCCTTCTCTGTTTCCTCTTCTAGACGATAACTGCCCGGCGCCACGGCAGGCCTCGGCATCCGTCAGCTGCCCTGCTTCTGTCACCCCTGTGGTCCCTCAGCATAGTCTGAATGGCAAAGGGAAGCTCGGCCTGCCTCCTGCGAGGAATCCGGCCTTAATTGTGAAGAGGAAAATCGTAGGCCGTGCCATCCACCTCCAGAAAAAGGTAGGAAGTGTGAGGCAAGGACAGAGTGTGGACAGTGGAGGCCTAGAGCCGTATAAACAGTGGCTCTGACCTGAGGAGCATCAGGCCCTCTCTGCGCACACAGGGAAATGGGGTGGGGGAGTGCTGCAGTGATAGAATGCACACAGAGCATGTCCCTCATGCTCGCCCAACAGAGTGGGAGGAGGAAGTGATGTCCCAGAAACTGTTTTTTACACAAAGTTTTGGGGAGTGGCTAGAGTGTCATGACATCAGTTCCAGGTAAAAAAACCCAAACTAATGTAATGAGATGGATTAACACTTCTACTCCCCATACCCCACCCCCAAAAGCTCCCAAGGTTTGGTGGCAGGGGCCTGGCAACTCTATAATGTTGGGTGAAATTCCATTTCCTTTCTGAATAAATCTCTATAAGAAAGCGAACAAATTGGAGCTTTTGTCCCTGGGGTGCTACATTGTACCCGCAGGGAAGGTTTGTACATGGGAGGATTAAAACTCAGGTTTGCACATGGGAGGATTAAAACTCAAACATAACTTTCTGCAGTCTGACTTGCATCAGTTCATTCTACTGCATGTGTAGATTAGGACCAAGTTATAGAAAATTGACGAGTGAAGGATAGTCAGACAGTATAAGATGCTGAACTGCTGGCTGTGGAAGGTCAGTAGTTCAGCAGTTCGAGACCCGGGTGCCGCATGATGGAGTGAGCTCCCATCTCTAGTCCCAGCTCCTGCCAACCTAGCAGTTTGAAAACAAGAAATTGCAAGTAGATAAATAGGTACCACTTCGGTGGGAAGGTAACCGCGTTCCGTGCGCCTTGGTGTTTAGTCATGCTGGCCACATGACCACGGAAACGTCTTCGGACAGCGCTGGCTCTTCGGCTTTGAAACGGAGATGAGCACCGCAACCCTAGAGTCGGATTCGACTGGCTTTCGAGCAAGGGAACCTTTACCTTCATAGACGCTTTGCATTCTGCCAGTTGACATGAGCAAAAAAACCACAGTCGGGCCTTGTTTTCATCTCACATGGCATACCTCTGGGCTGGATCACTTCAGATTATTTATTTATTTATTTACATTGCATTTATATACCGCCCATGGACCTCTAATGGGTCTCAGAGCGGTTTACAGTGACCTGCTACTGGTATAGTCGCAGTAGTTAACCTACCTAGGGCCACAGATTTTTAGGGGGGGGGGGGATTCCCTACCGACACCCTTGTTGGCGGCGCGTTCTCTCTTCTTTCCGGCGGGGTATGCTGGGTGGAGGATCATAGAATCGAATGCTCCCCCATGAAAATAAAAACAAAACCTCCTGCACACAGAAGTCTAGATGATACTGGGGAGGTGGGGAGGTTGTTACAGGGAACTTGCAGCCTGAAGTGATAGAAGTTAACCTGCTAGATGAAGATGGGGAGGTCAGAAAGCAGGAAGCTAAAGGGAGCCTTGCTTCCTTGGTGGGATTCAATTAGGAGGGATTTATACTCCCCACTGGGAGCTGAGGTGGACTTTCTATCAATGACAGCTGCTCTTACCAGTCTTTACTGTCACCTTCTGGCAGAATGGTATCATTACAGCCTTGATGGATTTCTCGAACCCTTTTACGGGCCAAACAAGCTTCACATTCCGGTGGGTACACATGCTCTGCCTTGACAAGCTTGCCCCCAAACTCCCAATAAAGCAGGGAAATGGAGGACACTTTGCACTGGCAAATATCGTTACCACCTTTGGGTTCCCCACACCCTGATATGACAAATGCAGCCATTCTCCAGGAAATAACATTCTTGTACACACACTAATTCTTCCCCTTTCTTAATCAGGCAAATGTTCAAAATGGGCAGACTCAGTCCAGTTCCTCGCCTGCCCCATCCTTCATGCTGAGGGTGCAGCCAGCCAGCAGCCCTCCTGGGCGGACCCCTCCTGCCATGACTGCAACCGTTGGCTGTGGCACACACGTAAGTTTTGGGGCTGGCCTACCCAATGCCAGTGTTCAGTTCAGTTTATTCGGTATATCACCAGCCCAATTACAAACAATACAAAAGGGTACCAATAATATATATAAAATATTTAAATATAAAACTGCATTTGATCGACATGTTAATTACAAAATTACTAAAACTCTAAATTTCTACAATACTCTATCAACTTATTCAGCTGTTGAACAAATATTATAGAGGTTATACAATTCTACTCCCTATCTCCTAAGTCTTCTGGAATCTTTCTAAAATTATACTACATGTGCAGCCCGTATTTTTTGGGCTATTGCTAGAAACTTAGCACAATTTATTATAATCTGTGGAGCGGGATCAAATAATAGCTTCCTACTTATCTCCTTGTCCAAGTATCCGTGGTACCTCCTTATAACGGGATGAATGCCAGACTATTCTGGACTGCTTTGGCTCTCAGGGAATGGTTGCAACAGCCTCCTTGCTGAAGCTAAACCGGACTGAGTCTGGTCAGTGTTTGGATGGGGAAGGCCTCTTGGGGGCTCTCTGCAAAATCAGGAAATAACAGTAATAGATGGTGTGGGATTTGCAAGCTTTGCTACGGCTGCATTCAGATTGCTGAGGAAGCCGTCACAAGGAATCTTGCTAGAGCTGAAGGGTTCGGCCTGGGTGGGTCCACACTGGGCCACAGTGGGAGTGGAGCAGAATTTAAAAAGCAAAATTCTGGTGTCTCCGGGAAGCCGTTCTGCTTGGGCACATTCAGGAGATGTCGCTCATCCCACTTTTGAGCTTCTCAGTGGCTTACACATTGCTTGTTGAAGAAACAAGGCGGGACAACACCCCCCACGCACACACTTTAGGGTGACAGTTTCATCAGGAGCTCCTTTGCATATTAGGCGACACACCCCTAATGCAGCCAATCCTCCAAGAGCTTACAGTAGCCCCTGTAAGAAGAGCTCTGTAAGCTCTCGGTGGATTGGCTGCATTAGGGTTGTGTCGCCTAATATGCAAAGGAGCTCCTGCTACAAAGAGAGCCCTGCATGTGAACAAAAACATACACAGTCCTGAGAACATAAGAGCAACTGGGGAGGGTCAAACCAAAGATCCATCTAGTCCAGTGGCCAGCCAGATGCCCCCGGAAGGCCTACAAGGAGGGCACATATGCCAGGGCTTCCTTCCATTGTTGCCCGCCCACCCATTAGCATTCATGAACATGGGTAACGGCCACGGATGGACCTATCCTCTGTGTATTTGTCGAATACCCTTTTAAAGCCAGCTAACAATGACCACATCCTGAGGCAGTGAATTCCACAGATGTTAGAGCAGAAGAAGCACTCATCTTTGTTGGTTCGGCATCTGCAGGCTCTCAAGGTCCAGGACAGGTCGAGGGTAGCGTGCAGTCAGCTGCTGACCTCCGGCTGGTGGAGCATTCTGAACGTTCAGTTTGCTGGAATTCTTGCAAACGATGCGCGAACGAGGTGGACTTTGGACTGATTGTCATTTCTTAGCTGGATCCTTTAATGCAGATTAGCCAGGCCCTCAGGGTGTAGTAAGCATTCTTCCTTTGTCCTTTAGCACACGTTGGGGGGCTGCAAGGAAGCTAGCAAAGGAAGGGAAGGGGAGACAACCAAGCAAAACCCATTCATAATGTAGTCTCTAGCTATCTGACCTACCTCTTATAATAATTTGGAGATGGGGAGGTCCAGGAAGATACTGCATTCAAATGAATGCACTACTGCCTGCTTCACATCTCCCCACACCGAAGTACATTAGAGTCTGAGACTTGTACTAGGTTGACAGTTCACCTTGCCCAAAGGAAAGCCGATGAAGGAGAAGAGGAAGAAGAGATTGGATTTATGCCCCGCCCTTCACTACCCGAAGGTGTCTCAGCGGCTTACCAACTCCTTTCCTTTCCCCTCCCCACAATAGACACCCTGTGAGGTAGGTGGGGCTGAGAGAGCTCTTGACAGAAACTGCTCTTTTTCAAGAACAGCTCTGCCAGGACTATGGCTTGCCCAAGGTCATCCAGCCAGGCGCAAGTGGAGGAGTAGGGGATCAAACCCGGCTCTCCCAGATTAGAGTCCGCGCACTTAACCACTAGACCGAACTGGCATCTGGAGTCCAGAAATAGCCACCCAGTCAAGAACAGTGCTAGTTAACCATCTTTCTGAACCTGCTGTCTCTTTCTCGGCTCTTCTTCCAGACCAAAGAGGCCAGTACGCAGACTTCCTCATCCAAGCCCACCGACTCACCAGCCAATCCAACCTGTCCATGGGGAGGCCAGGCGGTGGCTTCTTTGGCCCCCACTGCTGGCCCCCCGTCCCTCACTGAAAAACTGGACGCGGTGCACATGGAGATCCAGAAGCTTGCGCAAGTGATGCAGGCAGTTTTGGAGCGCCAGTGTCGGCTGGAGCGCCAGCAGGAGCAGCAGCACCGGACCCAGCAGGAAGTGCTGATGGCACTGCAGCAGCTCAGCTCAACTATCAGCCAAGAGGCAGTGCCCAGAAACCAACCCTGCGTGCCATACAGCAGCCTGGTGGACCCTTCGCCTTCTCTGCCAAATTTCAGCCAGTTCAAGATGGAGCTGATCTGACCAAAGAGAAGCAGAGAAATGCACAGAAGCAAAGCATGCTTCCTGGTTGGCACGGCCTTCCTCCAGGTACCCTGCGCGGCGATTGCTCGCCAATGGAGGCGGTGCTGCCCATCGGATGTGCAGAACTCTCAGGAGCCCATTTGGATCTCCTTTGGGCTTCACCAAGCTTCAGACGTGCATCCCGAAATCTGGGATGCCAGGGAATGGGGCACTGAACGCTAATTCTCACCCAGTGCCTTGATTCTGGGAGGCACTGGATAATTAATAAATATCATGATGGTGATTAATTATCGTATGGCATTGTGTGTAGAATAGCCAGGAGATCCAAAGAGTACCTGGCCGCTGATAGTGGTGAGCTAGACTTATTTTTAGGGGCTGAGAGAGCTCTGAAAGAACTGTGACTGGCCCAAGGTCACCCAGCTGGCTTCATGTGGAGTGGGGACTCGAACCCGGTTCTCCAGATTAGAGTCCACCACTCTTAACCAGCTTTTGCCACTGCTGTGAGGCTAATTACTAGGAGGGTGTCATACTTTCAAAATGGTGGATTAAGGCACACGCGTTAGTGCGACCGTTGAGGTGGATAGGCTGTGAAAAATTAAAAGTTTCTACGCGGGAGGCATTCATTGCTTTGTGCCTGTCAGAGCCTCCCCCGCCACAGGCAGACGCATCTTCCGGAGGGAGGCAGTGAGGTTTCCCTGCTCCACAGCTAGTACAGGGGAAGCCAGAAATGTCTCCACCGCTGAGAAAGTTAACTAGTTGGGCAAAGAGGACCAGAGTGTGCCAGGGAGCTGAACCAATGGGACCAAGCTGCCATTGCAAAGAAGGTGCATGTCCATTGGTTTGAGAACCAATTAATATTATTACTTATTCAGCCTCTCTGAACCAAAATGTGAGGTGAATCTCCAGTTTTAAGTGCAGGATGGTGGGGGAGACTCCTTCAAGAGAATGGGAAAAGGTTGTTTCAGACGCATATAAGACAGCGGGAGGGATACCTCAGAACATTCATCCACATCTTCTAATTTGGAAACAGCAGAGAGGCAAAAACCCTACAAAGGCTTTTTGTGTCTATCCTACCTTCAGCCCATCCTTCCTCCAAAGAATTCTGGATGATGTCCTGTGAGGTAGGCTAGGCTGCTGGAGAGCAACTGATATTATTTTCCCGCTACAGCTATACCCACACTCCGTTTCATTCCTCATTCACCTTCCCCCATTTCTCAGTGTTTCCACCCACTGTCTCCATAAAATCTGTCTTCTGTGCAGACTGCGTAAATTGCAGCCTGCACTGTCTGCACTGTGACAAGTCAGGGAAGGAAAAATTAAGTTGAAGTTCCTGGTGATTCAAATGCAGATTTTCAGTAGCAAGAACTGTAATTTGGTGACCAGTAGAGGGCAGAGCTGCGGTGGCTCAACTGGTTAAGACGCTGAACTGCAGGCTGGCTTTCGAGCAAGGGAACCTTTACCTAGAAGGCAGATTCCATGAAAAGGGAAATTTCACTTTAAAAAAGACAATGTTAAGTGGTGCTCTGTCACATACTTACCTGTGCCTGAAGGTGCCATTATAATCCCCACGGGACACTGCTGCCAAGGGTACAGGGCTGTGACCTCTGGCGCACCTGGCAAAGTTCTGTGGCATTATTCTCATCGTATAGGAAGTGGGATGACAACCATTTATGTAGCACATTCCAAGTAGCCAAAGCACTTTATGTACGAACAGCTGAGTAAAGCAAGCCAGCACTATTATGCCCTGTGTTGAACAAGTATAGGTAACAGCGAAGAGGATTTAAATCCAGACGTCGTTCCTCAGTAGAGATGTATCTGGTTATTTAATTAACCAAAATTTGAGCCAAATAACCGCTGGTTCTTTAATATATTAAATGTAAATGTCAGATTGTTTTTAGTTTCTACCGGGGGACGGGGGGGGGACGACAACTCAGATTCATCTGACGGGCACCTCCACCCAGAATTAACAGACATTTCCCATGAATCTACTAATCTTTTTGCTGCCTCAATGGCCTGGGGAGGGTTTCTTTTTTAATTCTGTACAAGCAGCACCATGGCCTATTTCCTTCCTATTTTATACTGTGATGCAACACTTACCACTTTGCTTGGACCCTGCAAAATGCAAGGAGTGTTGCAAAGTTATAGCTGAAAATGCGTTTCCTGTTGGAAGCAATGGAAACAATATCAAAACATAGTGAAGAAAGCAAGCAATTGTATTAATTATAATAAAGCAAAGCTTTAAATTTAAAAAAATTAAATTGTATAACATTTTTGTTCATATTCCTATTCCTCAGTGCGGATTTGCTTGTAGGGAGAAAGTGTGAGATAATTACGGGAGACCAAGACTATAAATAAAACTAATCTAGTAACTCCTTTGTTCATATAATCCTGTCAAGCAGCAAGGAAAACTAACAATGTGTAAAAACTGTCCCTGTAGCCACCATTCGTTGTATTACACTGACATGTTTGGAAGCTGCAAGGTAACCAGTGAAACTACAGGCATATGCTGTTCATACATGAAGACATGAAGACTTCTCTCAATAACCAAGGTTATAGTCTAGGGACAGGAGTTTCAGATGTGCAATTTCAGTTTGCTAAAAAAAACCCAAGAAGGTTCTAGTCCTCATTATTTGGAAACTTAGAACTCTGGCACCCATTGCTACTGGAGGGACGCATTTTACCCTCCATTTATTGTCAATCATTTCTGCTCCTGATCTTTATTCTCTTCCTTGGTTTTCCCCCTCCTCTCTCCCGTAACTCCTTCTTACCAAAAAGTTGCAGTCCTTACAAATGTGCCTCTCAGAAATAAACTGTGCAAGAATGCCACATGGTTCCGAACAGGTATGACCCTAGCCACAGCAAACTGACACTGAGTGTCCAAGGCCGGGGCACCCGCCCAGAGCTTCTTTCTAGAGGCCGTTGTATTTATTTCCACAACGAGCCTTTTTCCTAGTAATATAAATAAACCACAGATTACAACACTGAACCCAAGAGCTTCAGCACACAAGGTGCTGTGCCGCCATGGCCTCTCACCCAAGAGATCTGCCTTGGTGGGGAACCACAACACGTCCTGTCAACCAACCACTGGAACGGATTTGCAAAAGGAGCTGGTCTAAGTGGAGTCTTAAGAAGAAGAAGAGGAAGAGATTGGATTTATACCCCGCCCTTCACTTGGAGTCTCAGAGCGGCTTACAAACTCCTTTCCCTTCCCCTCCCCACAACAGACACCCTGTGAGGTGGGTGGGGCTGAGAGAAATCTTGCATCTCTCTTTAGGACAAACAGAAATATATAGATATAGGATGCAGGAATTTGTGAACTGCTGTTATTTCAGTTTCCTGGTCTGGTCCAACTAGGTGCAGGTCATTTTCACCAGCAGTACACAGACCAAACCAACCAGAGATGGTCGCCAACTCGAGAGCAGAGGGAGTGATATTCTCCCCAGATCTCCAGGGTAGCTCCCTGCTGGCTCAGGGGGTGGCTTGAACTGGTTAACAAGAGGAACCCTTTTAATGAGCCCACCTTCCCTCCACCAAAGCTACTTTGCACACATCCCATCTTCATACAGCAACATTTTATGTAGAAGATATTTGGTTCCCCAGCACCATGACATTTCAATGCATCGCTTCCCTCATTTGAGAGAGACAGAGGGCAGTGTAGGTGCAGGAAGGGCTGAGGCTGGTATTCCCTTGGAGGACTCAGGCACAGAAAGGTTGCCAAAAGCCACCTGCTGCAGCAGCCTCCCCCTCTTTATGTTCAAAACATAATAAACCTGGTAACTTTTGACAGGATCAAGCATAACGGCTCAACGGAGCAGTAGGGGGGGAGAAAGAGCTCTCCTGCTGACAAAAGATGGGAGCAGATGTTGGAGTTCTGAGCATTTCTTCAGTTGGCTTCAGGAAGGAATGAGGTCTTGGCAAAAGTAAATCTATTTTTTCCCTGGAAAGTGGTTTTTTTTTTGGGGGGGGGGGGTAGTATGGAGAAGAAAGGGATGGCAAAGGACAAGATGGTTACACAGTGTTATTGATGCAACAAACATGAAATTGAGCAAACTCCGGAGGATGGCGGAAGCTAGGAGGGCCTGGTGTGATGTGGTCCACGGGGTTGTGAAGCATCAGATTCGACTGCGACTGAACAACAGCAACGAAAATACGGAGACTGGATCTTTGCCTTCTCCCTTCTCAATACCACCCCAACAGTCACTCGCAAGAGCTGAAATCCCACTGTCCCCACCTTTGAATTTGGAAGTTTGCTTTGGGAAGGAAACACAACTCTAAAAGGGGCCAACGGGAGCCCCTAAACTGTAACTGAGGCCAAGAGCAAGACCTGTGTACATGTCACTAGACATGTTACCCATTTAAGCAGCGTGACGGAGATATTTGCGGCACGCTGGTTTGAAATACACAGTCAATTTATATAGTTCTTTTTTTTTTAATCCCACCCTTCCTCCAAGGAGCTCAGGGCAGTGTATATCATTCCCTGTTTTCATCCTCACAACAACCCTGTGAGGTAGGTGAGGTGGAGAAAGAGACTGACCAGCCCAAGGTCACTCAAGAAGTTCAAGGCCATGTGGCAAATAACAAATATCTGGCGGCACAGCGGAATTCTCAGGAGGATACACATGTCCATCTACACCTACCACAGTGATTCAACACACGTGCGCCCACCGCGCTGTTGCAATATGCAGCAGTTTGTGATCAGTTTGTACAACAGCTAGTTTGGGGGTGGGGGGACCCCCAGGAACCAGGGATGCACACCGGCTCTTCAGAAAAGCAATGCTATCCAAGACTCTCTTGCAGGCTTGCCATGGATATTTGACAGCGCTGAGAGGGAAAGCAGACACCTCCGTGGAAACAAAAGAGGCTGATTTCACATATCCCAAAGTCAGAAGATTAAAAAATAATAATAATCTAGGACTTCTTAAAATGCACAGTGTTGCATTCTTCGCGCATTAGTGCATATGCCAGGCAAGTGCAGAGGCAATTCCGGTGTTCTCCTTCAGTGCCAGAAAAGGCCTTTTCCTGGCCAAGGTGGGTCCCCAACGGCATCAAATGTCTGCCATAATCTCACAGCGGTCATTCATCTCAATGGTGGTGTAACTCTGAGGCCGCCTGGAAAAGAGAGGAAAGGCACTCTTTCATTTCTGGGTAATGATGGCATCTTGGGGGTTGTCTACGGCAAGCTCTCTTTATGCCAAAACGTTACATTTCCGCAATAAGGTTGCCGGGTCCCCCTGGCCACCAGAAGGAGATGTGGAAGAAGGTTACCAGATCCAGGTTGGGAAACTCCAGGAGATTTGGGGATGGAGCCTGAAGAGGACAGGGACCCCAGTGGGGTACATATTGAGATATACGTCAAGGTAGCAAGCAGTTACTAGATCAGTTTGATCTGTTTGACAGTCCTAGCTGTCATGTTAAGTGATTAAGTGATTATAGCCAGGTGTTATTGTTATACTAGCAGGTGTTCTCTATCAGGCATTGTTAGAGTAGGTAATTGATTCACCTTGTTAATGATTGACTCGGTTTAGTATATAAGCTGTAAACTTGATAAGCTAGGTGGGGACTTAGTTTCTCAATGCTAAGGCATGGTATGCTGTATGATAGCCTGTATATCTCTGTGTATATATTCACCATTATATCTATATAAACTTTCTATGCACTTTCATCACCAGTTGGTCTCCCGCTTCTTTTTTACTACACCCAATAGTACAATGCCATAGAGCCCACCCTCTAAAGCAGCCATTTTCTCCAGGAGATCAGGTGTAATTCCAGGGGATCTCCAAGCCCCACCTGGAGGCTGGCACCCCTATTCTGCAACAAAGAAGCAAACACTGCGATAGGAATGACTAGGACATTTACTTCGATAACCAAATAGATCTGCTGCTATCCGGTGTGGTTGGCGTTTATCACATTTTTATCCCGCCCTTCCAAGAAGCTCCTCCAAGGAGCTCCGCGGGGAGCATAGATTTCCCCCCCTCCACCATTTTATCGTCACAACAACCTTGTGAGGCAGGACAGGCCGAAGGAAGAGACTGGCTGACCCTCTAGCTGCATCTGAAGAAGGGAGCAGTGACTCACAAAAGCTCATACCCTGCCACAAATTTTATTAGTCTTTAAGGTGCTACTGGACTCTTGCTTTTTTAGACTGAATCTCAAGGTTACCGAGTGAACTTCATGGCTGAACAGGGTTTTGAAGAGACAAAAATAGAAACCAAGGGACTATACCAGTTGTGGTGAACCTATGGCACGGGCCCAGACCATCATTAAAGTGTCGAATTCTCTGCCAAATAATTTTAAGTAAATGAAAGCATTTGGGATTGCTTTCCGTACTTTGTTTGGATCATATTAAGTTAATGTATGAGTGGTTTTTTTTAAAGTAGAACCTCAGTATTCAGGTTAAATTGCTGTGTTGGCACTTTGGGATAAATGAGTGGGTTTTGGGTCGCAGTTTGGGCACTCGGTCTCTAAAAGGTTCGCCATCACTGGACTATACCATCTTGGAACCAAACACTACATTTTAATTTTTCAAATAAGCTCCTTTATCCCTTAACGTTTTCCCATCCTGGGTGTGTGTGGGTTTTTTCCCGTCACAGCGGCATAAACTGTGTTGGAAGGCGCAGGGGTGGCATCTGGCCACTGGTAGTCTGTCAAAAAAGGGGGGGAGGGGGAAGGGGGAAAGCCAGTGTACAATGCAAGAAACAAAAAAGAACACCACTGGCAAAAAATAACTCACAAGCAAATAAGTCTGTTGCACAAAATCAGTACTGGAAACATATTATGAAACCCCCAAAGTCATCATTCTGGGAAAGGGGAAACGTCTGCCAGAAACAGGCAGCTGAAAAGACCAGTTCTGCTGTTTCCACGACAGTCCTACTTGAGGAAGCTAAAATCACTGGGTCCTTGGTTGGACATGTCTCACCCAGAAGCCAGAAACCCCCAAAGTAGGAGGACAAAGACCAAAAAACAAAAAAAAAGACTTCCAAAAGTGTTGACTGAGAAGGAACCTGAGTTCTAGAAAATTCACCTCTCTCCTCCGGTGTTTGAAGCAAAAATAGGAAGGGTTGAATTCAAGACAGTCCCCTGAAGCCACATATCAAAACTCTGGACCGTCTCTGTGGTATGCACATCAACCCATATGCCTTTCACACTGGGCCTGCACACAGGACAGGCCCAGTGTGAAGGGAAGACCACGCAACATGCAAAACTGGGACTAGATCCGAGCATTCGGAGCTTCCCTCTTCCACCAAGAGGCTGTGGTCTTCAACATGACACATGGACGTGACAAACCCCACAGGATCTCCACCAGCCTAACCGGGTCACGTGCACCCAGCCATCG